AGAATTGTACTCCTCAAGGCCGCGTACCGCCTGCTTCCAGGCCTTTGTTAGGGGCAGAACGTGCTGAATTCTAACCTGGCGCGGGATCAAGCCCAACACACACAATGAGGTAGCGAGAACAGGGGTTTCCTATAAACACAAAGGACAAGGGGACACGCGCACGTAATTCTCACCCAATGAAGGAGGAAACTTGACAAAGCAGCCATGTAGAGTCATATTTACACCAAGCTCACTGGTTCAACTCGAGAAAATCCAACTCGAGCTTCTAAGGTACACCTTATATGTAACTGATGAGGAAGAAAAATAAAAATAAGGTGCTTCAAAACCTATGATTTGTACTGAAATGCTAAAAATAAAGTTCTAATGAATATAATTCACCAACCAGAAAGAAAGATGACCTTACATCTACTAGGGATCCGAATTCTCTGCAGCGGCCATTTACTTACACAGGTCATAGGAACTGGCTGATCTTTCTCCACTTCATCTTACGCAGCGTGCACCCAGACTCTGGGCTGTCTGTCATCCCTCCTGCTCGTACCTTCTCTAACTCAAATCACAGTGATTTAAGAACTACCACACCTTTGTTGGGCCATGAGGACATCAATATCAAAAATTATGATCAGCTCAAATTTCAGTTGAGTAGCAATTTAAAAAGACTAGTTTTTAATCTCAAAATAAAAAAGAAAAGGCAATAGACTTTTCTCACTAGATAATTATGCAATGTTGTTTTATTTATTAGATATTTGATTTCAAGAGAAAGGGATGGAGTTTAAAAATCTAATCCCTTAGAGAACTTCAATGATAGAACGGAAAAGAACAAACTTTCCTAAACTGTGTGCAACGGACCAAAGAACAGAGTCCTCACTGAGCTCCCCACATGTCCCATAAATGAACTACTGCAATGAGACAACGCTGAGATATGTTTAAAATTAAAATAATAATAGCATTACTTCTGAAAGATATAAAAATTTTAAAAGTTTTACTGGCTAGATTGCCAAAAAAATAGAAAAAGTCTATAGTTGAACGAGATTAAGATCTCACTGCCAGCAGGCGACACAAGCTCGCAACCTGAGTTCACGTTCTTCTCAGACATGGGCAAGTGGGTCATCCCTCACCTGCATACCACCCATTTCTATAATTTCTGAAGCAGCTACAAAGAATACTGCAGGGATTATTAGAAAGCTAGCGAAACACTTTCCTCACCATTCTAGGACACAGTGCCTTTTCTGTTACTCCTTACATGTGGTAAGAAAGGGAAGTTTAAATGAAGCTTCAGCTCTTTCCAAGTAAAAACAGCTTCTCCTTCAAACACACTTATTACTTCTGTTCTTACGACCTTAGTAGTAAACTCTTACATTTTCTATAGCTAACTGACAAAGAAAGCCAAAGATTTTTCAAGTTTATATCTGTGCAACTTGCAAAAGATATGTTTGGGGATTTAAGTTATACCACAAATAATTATATGATTAAAAACACTCGTATGTCTAAGAAAATTAAGTGGTAGTCTAACAGGCTGGACGTGAAATGATAATCCAAAGACCTGGATTCTGCTTTTGGTTCCTACTCACACCTGAAGTGGGAAATTTAGCTGTATCTCCTGGCCTCAGAGACTGCTCTCCGTCCAGTGGAGAGCGCTGCACCCATCACAGAGATGTGAGGACCAAAGCAGTATGTTCTGGGATTTTGAGCCCCATATAAAAAGCAATAAATAAAGCCCAACACTATATAATGTGATCAATGTTATTAGGTGTGCTGAGTACAGGGTCTCAAAACCCCCACAGAACATACAGAGACCGTGGGGTTGGGCATCATCTATGGCAGGCACTTGGCATTTTTTATTCTGTACTAGTTTCCCACTCTCTATTAGGAGGCCAGCCCATCTGTGTACAAAATGTTTCATTTAAAATCCAGGAAAATAAGTCACTCTTGGAGAGTACTTTTCAGTCCCATGCAGAATATCACTTTGATCACATGCATACTATATTCACTGGTCAAACATTTATTGACTACCCACTGTGTCCAAGCACTGGGATTGGCAGATGAGTAAAAGAGGGCCTTGCCCACAAAGAGTCTGTAACCTAGAGGGAGGGCAGGAGTACCTCTGCCTCACCGTCAAGCTCCCCAGAAATCCAAGCAGAATTCTTAGTAGGCGCTCGATAAACATTTGTTGATTAAACCCAGGGCAGGCTTTTCTGCACCAATGGGAGTCTCTTTCCTCGTCGGCTCCCACAAGCCTCACAGGCTCGAGAGGCAGCCACCGACCGAGAGCGGCCTCGCCCTGCCCCTCTGCCAGGTGCTTTTTAATGGGGTCCCAGCACCTTGTACATTGATACAGTGAAAGCGCCACCTCATTCTTTCCCCAGATAATCAAATGTCTTCATCTGACCCCAGGGGGCCTCCTCTTGAATCAAGAAAGCCAACATTCTGGAAGGTAGTACTGCAGTGTCTTTAGCGCTCCCTGGAAAACGCTGTGGGATCCCCGGTTTGGTACACTGAAGCAGGAACGCACCAAATGGAACCCCAATGGACCAAGGCAGCTAACCGATTTCTCTAGAAACCTAACTTACTACCATGAGGAACTGAGATGCCACAGCAAAGACAGCCCTACCTTTACCATGTCAACATAACAATGTACTTCCTGGACATGGCCTAGGGAACCCCCCTTATCAATTATGAAAATGGCACTTCCAAAGCCGCACTGCAGAAAGGGCCACCATTAAAGTGATAGTGCAATATAACAAGTCGCTTCAGTGCAAACAGCATCCCGCCCAGCACTCCCCAGAGGTTCTTTCCTTGTTGTTGCACAGATTGAGAAAAGCCTACTGCTAGCTACCAACCCTCACAGCAATGAAATCATGAAATAAACAATGAATTTAGACATTTCTTAGGCCAAATCTTTATAGCATACCAACAACTAGTTGGTAAACACTGTTTTTAATCCCACTAAAGAAAAGAAATGCAAACACCAAGTAAAACTTACTACAAACTACAAATATACCAATATTTACACTCAACATGAGTTTAACCCAGTAGTATAAACCAAAGGGCCACAGGCTCAAGAATTTATCTGAAGCACCAGGAGACAGTAATGTATGTAGTTTGGAACTACAATTCAAAAAGTAAACATGTACAAACAGACTTACCAAGTCACATCTCACACACACACATTCTCACACACCTCATCTCTCTCTCACACTTTTTCCTCTCACAGGATATAAGCACTATCACAAAAAAAAGAAACCCCAAAACACTTCATTTTAAATTAAACACTTAGATCGTTGAAAAATCTATATTTGGATGTGTTAAACAAAGAAAGAAACAAACTTACTTTAGACTGTAGCCTAAGAGAGATCCTTTAAATATTCATTTATTCTAACCTGAGATAACTTTCCTTCTGTTGGTGGGATAATGAAAATAAATTGCACTTCCCCCAAAGATTTATGTTTAAAATTTTAAGATCTATCGTCAGCCGCCAATTCCAACATACATCTGGTAAAAATGCCTTATGGAAAAAGAATTATCAAAAATTTATCAGGAAAAGATGTTTCAAGGCATAAGTGGAATGTTAAAACAAACCTGCATGAAATGAGTTAAAATTTATTTCACAATACTGAAATAACTGTAATTTACACAAAAGTCATGATTAATTTTGGAATATAATAAAATTAAATATATCCCTACACTTCAACATAATATTTTTATATTTATACATTAGTAAAATAACAGTTTGGCACTTAGCAGCTTTTGTTGGTTACTGCATCTCATATTATGTTGCAAATTTATTTTAAAAAATATTATCTAATTTCTGTAGCTACAGTGTCAATGAACTGAATGAAAAAAAAAACAAAAACGAACTACTTCTATAAAATGAACTGACCCAGCCACGCAGGCACTGACAATACTGCAGTAGCAACCCACTCATTCCTAAACAACAAACTGTCTCCTTGGGAAGGCCCAGCATAGACTGGGAAGAATTTTAAACTTCAGAAATTAAAAAACAAAGAGAATTTTCTGACTGTGAAGGCTTTAATAAGGTATCAGTCACTACTTTAACGTACCGCAACCGCAGCTTCTGATGCAAAGGTTCTGTTCTGTACTGGGTATTTTACCAAAGAAAATTCACTTTTTCAGCAACTTGTTTCCCCTATATCTAATTGTAAAAAGAAAGTTTTCTTTCTTTGTCGTGGCCACATAGCTTGCTCTGATTAAAGGATATCCAAGTATTGTTGGGAAAGTGTGCAGACAACAGCTGACTGGTACACGATGCAAAGAAAAAAGGCTGGCTTTGATTGACATATCAAATCTGACTGTGTTACACGAACGTGTGGCAAATGTGGCCTAGTGCCTCTGACAGAGAAGACAAAAACCTTATACCTTCTGCTACCAAAATCTTCTGCCACAACAGAGAGTTAACGTGCCACGAATAACATTCTTTAGAACCCCCACGGGCAAGGCTCCCTTCAGCAACTTTTACAGCATTGTATTGACTACTAACAGGTGTAAGAAAAAAACTGCTCACCCCTTTTTCTGTTCACAGTGGGAAAACATAAGCAACATTTCTATGCATGTTAATAGCATATAAACATTCCACACAGGAAGTCTCTACAAGAAATTCCTGTTCTCAAATTTATAGCCAAAGGATACATTTATACATTAACCAGTAAGACAAAATCCTGCTTCTTAGAGCCATATTCTAAGAGAAAAATAAAAGCTGTAGAAAACAATTAAAAATGAAGACTTCTATATTAAATTGATTAGAAATCTGATATTGCATAAAATTCAAATTATGAAGTAATCAAGAACTTTGAAGTCCCTGATTTCATGCTAAGGTGGTATAATTCGAATGGAAAACAAAATATCTTACAAAATAAGTGCTACTAAGGACAGACCTTCCCCCCAGTAGGAAGTGGGGAGAGTGGGCTGGCACGGGAGTGAGAGAGGGAGGAAAGGATGAATTTGCTCTACGATGAACAGAATGCAATTGGGTTGAGGTAGTTGACTCTACCAGCCAAACTTTACTTGTAATTTATCTAGAACTCTTACTAGTGAACGGCATTGAGAAAATTCTACTACAAAGACGAGATTCTTAACAAAGATTCGCATTCTAAGACAAGTTTTCATCCTAAACAGTAGTAAACAAGACTGTGTGTGCTTTCAGACAGATTATTTTTAAAAGTTTTTGATCCCTATATATTTTGTCTGGACAATTTTTTTAGTCATAGCAGACCTTTTTTATTTGTCTGACTCAAGTCTTTCTTTTATAAAATCTCATACTCACTAATATCCTCATATTTATAAAGTGGTTTTGGTTAATTGAAAAGAAGAATGGCACTGCATGAGATCCTTCACAACGCCAAGAGTACTACCCCAGAAATGATGACATGACGTGTCTTAATCCAAATTAACACAGAGGTTAGCAACTTCCTTGAAATTCACATGAGGGCTGCAACCTGACTCATTAATTTATTAAATCTTTAGATTACTAAGATAGAATGTCATCAAAGATAAATTTTATCTTAGTTTCAATTCATCATAATATAGTTTAAAAAGAGTCTCAGGACAGAGTACTAGTAGTATATGGACACGAGCTCGCATACAGTCCAATCTAACATTGTAGGCACAAACCTCACTTGGTCGGGCAGGGTTAGGCATAATGCTCCCTTTCAAGTGCAGTAGAAAGCAATCTTGGTATGTTAGGATATGTTGATTTGCATATATGGATTTTTGTTTGTTTATTTACCAAAGCCAGGGACTCGCACACAACCGTCAGTCGGATACGAGTTCCCTTCAAGGAAAACGCACCTTAGTATTTTAACGTCAATATTTTACATTATACCGATTCCCACTTCCCTTTTCCTTCTGACATTTACTAGCCTCTGTTTGTGTACAGACACATCTAACTGGAGGAGCTGCTTCCTCCCAGGTAGTTTTCAACAATCACGTGTTCTCCCAAACAAGAGCTGAAGCTCAAGCTTCTAAGCATCATAAAACCACCAGAGGTACCATACAAAGCCCGGCACGCAGAGCAAGTTCTGGCTGCCATTTCTGTCCCCTCACAGAAAGCCGTGCTGTGGTGCACTTGCTCAGGAGCTCTGCTTCTGCTCTGCTGCTGCTTCAAGGCGAATGAACACGGATGCGGAATAGGCCTTGCTGAAGCTGCAGGCGGAAAAGCTTGCAATTTGCAATACGTAAGGCTGCACACCCGGTGCGGCGAAGGTCGGAGGGAAGGAGTGGTTTAGTGTGGTGCCAGGTTCCTGTGCTTCTCTTAAACTCACGCACGTAGTCGTAATTGGTACCTAAACCACGAGAGTAAGCAAAGGTGACACCACAGGCCTCAGAATCACTAGGAAACAGTTCCAACAATATCACCATAACGTTCTCACCTGTATCAAGATCTCCGATAACGTAAATACTGGCTCCTATGGGTACAGCTCCATAAACAAAAGAGGAACTCGCGGGGATGCATAAATTCTGGTCATTAAGATAGATCCATCTGAAAACAAACAGATGGACAAAATTAAGGAAATCAAAAGGATGAGCACAACATCTAGAAGACTAACAGAGACAACAAAAGTTGGTGAGCCCCTGACAGTACCAGGCACTGAACCAGTTATTTCAACCCCCACACTCCACTTCTGGGAGTCAAACTCCACTGATCACTTCCTGTCACTATACATATGAGTTCTGCCTGTTCTAGAGTGTCATATACATTGAATCATACAGAGTATGCACTTTTCAACCTGCTCCTTTTGCTTAGCACAATGTTTCTGAGATTCGTCCATGTTGTTGCTTGCATCAATAATCTGTTTCTTTTTATTTCTAAGTAGTATTCCATTATATGGATACACCAGAATTTGTCTATCCATTCACTCGCTCACTCTCATTTGCGTAGCTTCCAGTTTTTGGCTATTGTGAATAAAGCTGTTTGGGACACTAGAGTGCAAATCTTTTTTGTGGACTTATGTTGTGGAATTGCTTGGTTATCTGGTTAAAGGTATATTTCACTTGACAAGGAAATGCCGCACTGTCTTCCCAAGTGTTGTGCCATTTTGCATTCCAGTTAGCAATGTATGAGAATTCCAACTGCTTGGCATTACTGCCAGCTCTTGGTGCTGTTGGTCTTTTTCATTTTATCCATATTAAAATGCACTTCCCTAAAGACTAATGATGTTGAGCATCTCCGTGTGCACATTGATCCTTTTACATCTCTTCTTTTGTGAAATGTCTGTTCAAAGATTTGCTCATTTTTAAAACTGGGTTTTCTATCTTATTGAATTATAAGATTCTTTATATTTGTGGATACAAGTCCTTTGTTAGACACATGTATCACAAATATTTTCCCACCATGTAGATTGTCTTTTCATTGTCCTAATGGAGCCTTTTGAAGAACAGAAGTTTTTCATTTTAATGAATTCCAATTTATCCCTTTTTTCTTTTATAGTTCATACTTTCTGTATCCTTCTAGGAAATTTTTGCTTACTCCAAGGTTGCAAAGGTTTTCCTATGTTCTTTTCTGGAAATTTCATGGTTTCAGCTGTTACATTCAGGTCTTAACAATACATTTCAAGTTAATTTTTGTGTATGGTATGAGGTAAGAGTCAAAGTTCATTTTTTTCCATACAGATATCTAGTTGTTCCAGCATCATTTGCTGAAAAGACGTTTCTTTCCCCACTAAATTGCCTTGGCACGTCTGTTGAAAATCAATTTAATAACCACTGAAAGGATGCAGGGCTCCGTGAAGAAGTGGTTGATGCCACAGCTGAAACAGAAAATACAAGAGGAGCCTGGAGCGTCTTGTGCTGCCAGATAGGAAGTGCTTAAAAAGGGATGGGGCACATCAAAAGGACACCCAGGCCAATATGAAGTAGCTCCCGGTGGGCACAGCTGGAACAAATCGAGTGACAAAACAATGACGGTATTAGATTTATAACTCATAGAATAAAATAAACATCTGAGTCTACACTGATAAAAACAGTTAACTGAATACATTAAAAAAATAGGGAGAAGGGACAAGTCTTCTTCACAGAATTCCAGTTAACAAATGTGGAAGGAATGAGGGAAACAGAAAAACCACTACTGGGCAAACACCACAGTAATAAATGCTGCAGGCCAGTCCATGGATAGATAGGTGCTAAATCAGTGGTGAAAGCTGGAGGAGAAACAGTAAGTTTGCACATCCTCAACTTTTCTCTTCCAAGACATTTAATAATTACAAAGGGAAACACAGTAACTTCGCAGTGGAGAAACCCAACAGACCCCACCTTAACCAGGTAAACAAGGTGAGCATCACCAGTATTAAGACACATCGACACCATGTTCTCCCTGACGTGGTGCAGAGAAGGGCACAGCATCACTTCTGTGGTCTTCCTGCCAACAAGGCGTAGCCTCGGCCTATGCTTGATAAATCGTTAGACAAACCCAAATTAAGAGACAGCCTACAAAAAACTGACCCATAATCTTCAAGAGTACCAAGGTCATGAAAGACAAGGAAAGACAGAGGAACTGTCCAATCCAGATTAAAGGAGACTAAAGAAACACAACGGAGTGCAATGTGGAATCCTGCATGGGATCCTGGAGCAGACAGAAAAAAGGTACTAGTGCACGAGCTGGTGAGATCTGGGTCAAGTCTGTAGTTTACTTAGTAACATTGTACCAACGTAAATATCCTGGTTTTGATATCTGCACTATGGTTATGTAAGATGTTAACATCAGGAGAAGCTGGGTGAAGGGCTCATGGGAACTCTATTTTTGCAACTTTTCTACAAGTCTAAAATTATTCCAAAATACAAAGTTTTTTGCTTCAAAAAAACAAAACAACTGGACTCTGCTATCTAATAATGTTCACTCAAGGTAATCTGACCAAACAATTCCCCTTTAATAGCTAAAGGCATAGCCAGGTCCTAACAGACCTCAGCCAGACCTTGGAAATGTATCTAAACTCTTAAGAACTCCTGATGGCCAGGCCTGCTCTCATCACTGGAGCGTACAGGTGTACAAGCACTGTTCCTGGTATCTCTAACTCTCTGCTACGAAGTGTCCAAGAAGCCAATGGCTTAGGTCTGAGCATCTCGATGTTAGATACTAGTGTAAAATTATTTCACTAAGAACAGCACTCCTATTTCTTTTTTTTTTTTTTTTTTAAAGTTTTTTTTTTTTTTTTTTTTTTTTTTTTAAAGATTTTATTTATTTTATTTTTTGCCCCCAAAGCCCCAGTAGATAGTTGTATGTCATAGCTGCACACCCTTCTAGTTGCTGTATGTGGGACTCGGCCCCAGGATGGGCAGAGAAGTGGTGCCTCGATGCGCACCCGGGATCTGAACCCGGGCCGCCAGCATCGCAGCGCGCGCACTTCACCACCAAGCCACAGGGCTGGCCCCAGCACTCCTATTTCAATGAACACTCTTCCCAGATTGTTATAAAGTAGTAGCTTCCATATTTTGAATTCCAAGAAACACAGAGGCAAAATGATTTGTCCAAGATCACATAACAACTCAGAGGCAAAGCTAATATAAGCTGCCATATCTCTAAATGCTTCATCTAACATTTGATTCTTCTAACAACTGAATGTTGACTGGTACCCAGCACTTTGCTGGGACTGGGAATACAGTTTGGCTGCTGCCTCCAATATGCCTCTAATAAATATAAAAAGAGAAAAATCTAAGAGCTCTCATTGAAAAGTGAAAACAGGAACCTGAAAAGGCCTTTGAAAGAAAGAGTGTGAAAAACGTCAAACTACAATACTGGCTTATTCACATTTTATGTCTTCGGGGCTGAACATAAATAACTAAACCTTGATATTTAAATTCTTCCCAGGTTCTGAATCAAACAACGCTGATGAGTATCTGATGCCTCGTATGCAGCTGAACCACACGCCCAGGATGAACCCCAGGGGAGAGGCACACAACTCTTCTGAGCAAATCCATTAACAGGACCACATGCACTCGAAGGGTAACTGCACATCTAAATTAAGACACAGATGACTAGACTATCTTCTGAAAAAGCACAACAGAATACAATGATATTTTGGAATAATTTTGTAGAGTTGAGAATTTAACATAATTCCTCCCTGGAAAAATTAAACAAAGTTGAAGAAATTGGTCTATGTAGATGTTCTACCAATTTGGTCCAAAGCAGATCAATGATTCAGAGTTCCTGGGTTTTAGGAAAATATTCCCAGGTGATCTATTTTATATAATGCTGAGGCTTCAAATGAAATCAAACGATATGAAAACTTAATTGGATCATGTCTTTAACTGCTTATAAAAAGATATATAAGGCCATGTGATCTTGCATTTCTTTCTCTACCATTTATCACCCCATTGACCTTGGACAGTTTAGCCAACCCACTCTCTGTGTCATCACTTGTAAAGTGGGGATACCAGACACCATCGCCAACCTCAAATGACTGTTATTAGGATGAAATGGAACACCAATGTAAAGTACTTTGCATAGTGTCTAGTACACAGCAGGCAGCATTAAGTGGTAGTAATTTCTGTAATGCACAAGGCAATATATTTTTTTTTAAAGATTTTATTTATTTATTTATTTCCCCCACCAAAGCCCCAGTAGATAGTTGTATGTCATAGTTGCACATCCTTCTAGTTGCTGTATGTGGGACGCGGCCTCAGCATGGCCGGAGAAGCGGTGCGTCGGTGCGCGCCTGGGATCCGAACCCGGGCCGCCAGCAGCAGAGCGCGCGCACTTAACCGCTAAGCCACGGGGCCGGCCCCGCACAAGGCAATATTAAGCCTTTAGTTACAATGTTTTCAAACATGGGCTTATCAACCTGGAGGCTACAATGATGTGTCCTCCGGTAACTCAGAATTAAGAGACTGACCTCCGAGAAGGAACCTTTGAAATATAGCATGGATCACAGCAGCAAGCTTCAGAGAGAGCAGAGTAGGAGGGGAAAGACAGGCAAGGAGAGAGGGAGAGAGGAAGAGAGCTATGGAGGGAGGGGCCATCAACCTGAGAGGAGAGAGAAGGAGAGAAGAGCTGCAGTGAGGTTTCTGCATCTAGGGAGGAAGAAGCTCTTAAGCTGACCCTCCTGCAAGGAACAGTTCCAAACTCTGGACAAAATACAGAAAACAATGGCCTGAGGGCTCTGGAAACTGAGCAACAGCAGGCAGATTTGGGGAAGAAGTAGACAGGTGAACCAGCATCCCACATGGAGTGTTTCTGGTCTTTGGTAGCTTTATCTGAAGGCAGCCCGAGGACAGCACCTCTGGGTAGGTGAGAAAATCCTGTCTTTCTGGCCCCTGGAATCAGTGTCTTGGGGCAATCAGGATTGCCAAAGAGTGCGGGGGTCTCATAAAGATGAGAGGTAGAGAAGAACCCCTAAATGTATGGGCACCCACTCATCTCAAGTCTTTGACTGACCCTAGAACCATGAATGCTTGTACCCAAGGCTTAAAGAACTGGGCTGAGGTTTGCGTTACAGGTGTGACCGCCTGCAATCTGAGTCTAACCAAGTCCAGTGCCCGCTAAAACTC